TGAGGAAGCGGTCCGGTGGACATCAACCGCCATGGCCATGCACGCACGAGGCGGGGAGGCAAAGGAAGGGATAGTGGCCTTTTTAGACAAGAGGATGCCCGAGTGGACGACATAGTATGTTATCGCTCGCGTGCGATGTCTTGTTCTGTTCCCCGGAAACATCTGTTGTTTAACCCTAAAGTTGCCCTCACCCACCCCAGTCACCCGCAATACCCCGTACCACTTTGCTCAGGCGCTACTCAGGAAATGATCAGAGATATCGCCAAAAATGGTTTAGACGAGTACCTAGACAGTACTCTGCGGTTTAAATGGCAACTTTTCGCAAGATCCCAGTTTTTAGGAGACAGGTGATCCAAAACTAGGAACACCACGCCCCCCACCCAACCCAACCTTTCGCTCCTCTTCCCTTCCCCCCAAAGTGATAACGACGGCGAAGGCGAAGGCGAGGAGGGAGTACAGGCCCGAAAAGGGGATCGAATGGGGCGGGAGGCGGAGGAGGGGGTTCATCACCGTCGACGGCGGGGTCGCGGCCGCTGACGGGGACGACGGCGGCGGTCCGGAGAAGGAGATCGATTAGGGGAGGAGAAAGCGGCGCGGGTTTATTATCGTTGGTGGGAAGGGAGTGGCGGGCGGAAACATGGACGGGAAGGGTGCGACGAGAGTTTGAGGATAGGGAGGAGGACGACGGGGCTATGGGGTCGCGGGAAGCGGCAACCCCCCCCCGAGAAGGTACATGTGGGGGCTGAGGGTATCTTATTTTGTGCTGCTACGCGCCCGGCTCGAAGTACTTGTGTGTTTCCTGCTGCGATTCTGTGAATCAAACCGTTTGTCCGACTGAAGGGCTCGACAGAGGCACCAGAATCAAGGAGTTTGCTTTGGGATTGATTGCTGTAAAATGCGGTGACGGCATATCCTCGTCGTACGTCATGAATCTGCGCACTGTCGCGTCGGTAAAGTCAATATTGCTAATCTGTCTGATCATCCTGGCATGTCACACAACTCGTTGTCGGTCCCCTAGATGTTGTTGGGTTACGGCTTTGTTTTTTCAAACCACGAGCAGCTGGCATGCATGGCCAGATGAGGTCATGGGTGCAGGCGTCTGCTTTTTAGCCACAGTCAAGTATATTTCTGCCTAGCCCTCTTGAGAGCTCTAGCTAGCCAGCAGAGTGGAGGTTATCGGTTGTTTTGATTACATAGCCTTGTAAATCCCACCCAAGACTATCGAGCTGCAACGCCTCAGAGCGGCGGCGTGTCCCCAAGAACCGGGCCCATCATAGCTGTGGGGTACCGATCCCCAGGCAGGTCGGCGGCTTCCGCAGCGGCTCTCAACTTCTGGATCTCCTCCGATGTGAGATGAACATGGGTAGCGGCAGTGTTCTCCTCCAGAAACTTGATGGTCCTGGTGCCGGGGATAGGGATGACCTCCTCCCCCCGAGCCAGCAGCCACGCCAAGCAGACCTGGGCGGGGGTGCAGTCGTGGCTCCCGGCCAGGGCCTCAACCTCGGCCACCAACTTCAAGATGGTGGGAAAGTTCTCGCGCGAGTACTTTGGAGTGAGTCGGCGGAAGTCATGCTCAGGCAGGTCATCAAAGGACTTGATCTGTCCGGTGAGCAGTCCACGACCAACCGGCGAGTAGGCGACCACCGAGATGCCCAGCTCGCGGCAAGTGTCGAGAATCCCAAGCTCCGAAGACTCAATGTCGAGATAGAACAAGCTGTACTCAACCTGAACGGCGGAGATGGGATGGACTGCGTGGGCTCGACGAATTGTAGCGGCGGAAACCTCGGACAACCCAATGAAGCGAATTTTGCCTTGGCTAGCACGATTCACGGACCACGGTCAGCAGATGATTCGAGATGCACAGGATTCGAGTCCCTTACTTCTTCAGCTCAACCATGGCCTCAATGGTCTTCTCGATGGGCGTCTTGCCATCGACCCGGTGGCAGTAGAGCAGGTCAATGGTCTCGACGCCGAGCCTCTTAAGGCTCTTCCCGCAAGCCTCGTGGACATACTCGGGGTCGGAACGCACGCTCTGGACGAAATCAGGCGTGAACTGGAGGCCGAATTTGGTGGCGATAAAGATGTCGGAGCGCTTGCCGGATCGCTTGAACCACTCGCCAATGGTGTCTTCGCTGTCGGCGTAGACGTCGGCCGTGTCCCAGAAGCGCTCGCCAATCTCCCACGCACGATCTAGGACTCCCAGCTTGCTGTCGGCCGATGTCTGCTGGCCGTAGGCGCCGCCGATGCTCATGGCGCCGAACCCAATGGCGGAGACCAAGGGACCATCACGGCCAAGACGGCGAGTCGCGGGAGAAGTCATGGTGACCCAAGAATAGACAAGTCGATAGTGTACTAAAAGGAGGGAGGATAAAGACTGGGGAACACATATCTAGGCCACGAGCACGGCTCCATGGCGTCTTTTTATACTTTTCTCCCTCAAGTCCGGCTTAGCAGCCATGAGCAGCCTGTATGACGCTTGGATAGGTGGTTGCGAAAACTGGGTCGAGGCGCTCTGTGGGATGGAGGGTATAGCCAATCCAATCGTTCCAAAAGCGAGCGCACCAATGAGCTTCCCTGTTCGGAGATTCTCATCCACATAAATCCGCCGCGCTTGCTCCTTTCCCACAGCCCAGCTAGTCATGCCGAGTATCCCGCGCAAATAAAGCAGCTCCATTTCCGAGCGGGCCAAGCAGCTATCTGCCCAGCAAAACCTGCCACTCACCATGCCGCCGCCGAGGCAGCGTCAGGCGGTTGCGGAATCGGCCGAGAAGTCAAGGAGAAAGACCAAGACGGGATGCCGAACATGCAAGTGAGTCAGTCCCTCCCTAGCTGGCGGGACACATACCTACCTAGTCCGACGCTGGATGCTAATCAACGGCAGGGTCCGCCGGGTCAAGTGTGACGAGGGCAGGCCGGCGTGCCAGCGATGCATCTCTACCGGTCGCGTCTGCGATGGCTACGGCATCTGGGGCGGGGGAGGGAACGCATACGGCACCGCCGAGCGGACGTTCAATACTCTAATTCAGCAGAGGGCGCAGCCGTCGCGCATCCCCGACATACTACCGGGTCTCAGCCCGCAAGAGGGGGAGGCTTTCCAGTTTTTCCGAACTCGAACCACAGTCAAGATGCCCGGTATCTTCGGCTCTGATTTTTGGGAATGCTTGGTCTTGCAGCTCAGTCTCCGAGAGCCCGCCGTGTTGCATGCTGTCATTGCTCTCGCGGCCACCCACCGGCGTGGCGTAACTCCGGGCCAGCTGCGCCGGCCTTTGCCCAGTCTGGAGGATGGCGGCCTTGTCATGGACCCCAACGAGAGGCTGGCTCTTCAGCAGTACAACAAAGCCATCAGCCATCTCCGCTGCCATCTCGAGAGCGGTGAGGCCCAGTCGCTGCGCATCACCTTAGCCTCATGCGTAGTGTTTACCTGCATCGAGCTGCTCAAAGGGGACATCCAGGCGAGCCAGGCCCACTTTCGGATTGGATGGAGGCTCCTGAGACAAATCAATGCGGGTTCAGGACCGAACTCGACCGACGAATATCTGTCCGAAGCTTTCACGCGCATCAGCACCCAGCCGCCCGCTTTCGGCCAGGGTACAGAATACGCCGGCATGACGTTGCCCGGCAGAAGGAATCGACCCAGCCCCCAGTTCCCATCCATCTTCGGCTCCATGAAGGAGGCGCGCCGACATCTTGACTGGCTCCTGCACGACATCCATCTTTTGTCCGCCGAGGCGAATGCAATTGTTTTTACGGACGACGGCCAGGTTCCCACCCGGCTCGTTCACCAACAAAGACACTTACAGCAATCGGCATCCTCATGGCTACGCGCCCTCTTGACCAGCATGCCTCGCATACGCGCCCATTGCCCTGACAATGAGAACGCCATCAGGCTGGGAGAACCTCTTCTCCGCCTCTATCATCGCATGGCTTCCATCATGGTGGCAACGAGTCTTCGACGCACCGACGAGACGGTTTTCGACGCTCACACCCCAGACTTTGCCGCCATATTAGAGGCCACTATGGAGCTCTGGGCCAAAGCTGCAGATCTCTTGCCCAGCCCGTCGCGCCCGGTGCGCAACCTCAGCTTCACGGTAGATATGGGGTTTATTCCGCCCCTCTACTACACCGCCCTCAAGTGTCGTGTTCCGCGGCTTCGGCGCTACGCTGTCCACTTCCTTGCCCTTTCGCCGCACAGGGAAGGTTTGTGGGATGCCACGCTGGCGGTTGCTGTCACTCGAAAGGTCTTTGAGCTGGAGGAGCGCGACTTCTACAGCGCTGCGGGCATTAGCTTCGCTGACGATGTGACGTCTGGGAACGACCAGATTCCACGTGACGACGTACCTCTTGTTCCAGGTGAAGCGAGAATCAACCATGTCCAGCTGCTGCCCCCGGGCGTTGGGGGTCTTTCCGACGGAACCGCAGCACTGGTGTGTGACACACATACCGTGGGGAGAGGATGGGAGACGCGGACGGTAGAGTTCTGTATTGAACCTGACCTCGCTACTGAGAGAGGGGAACAATGAGAACAATACAACCAAACAATGGAGGCTTAACACCACAAGCCAAATGCTGGGTGGAGAAAGGACCATTGGGGGGGGAGGATGCAGCCTGTGTTGCCTTTAATACTGGCTGGCGGGGAAGTGCCCAAGAGGCCGGAAGGGGGGGGCTCTTCCAATGGCACACCACCTCGCAGGCGTCTATCGGCGCGGGAGAGGTAACCTTGCCTGCCAATGATGGTAGGTGTAGAAGGAGCCGCCGGGTAATTTTCTGCCCCCACGGCCAACCGGGGTTGAATCCGGGATTTCGCCGGGTCTCTTCTCAGCAACATCTCCAACTCGCAGGTTCTGAGATTATTTTGCCCTGCAGTTATTGTTCCGGCAATTGATCATATGCATACATATCATCACCTTGAAAAAGATGGACAGATTGAATCAAAGCAAAAAGAATGCTCGTGGTCCCCAAGATCCAATCGGAGCTGACAGCTAGAAAATGCAAAAAAGATGTGCGCCATCCGAGATTCGAACTCGGGTCCCTCGCTGATCCAAGAGGAGATGGGAAGCGAATATCCTAACCACTAGACTAATGGCGCTCTGGGCACATTTGCTGATGAAAAATGAATGCACAGCACCCCCCTATGGAAATTGGGCAACTCTGTCTTGGCCCAACAATTTGCATATCCTCCTCACATTTCTCGATTGTATTCACTTTCCATCGGCCGAGGGAGAGAATCAGCTCTCATACTCACCTCCCGCACAGCATCAATATACACATCAGAATTCAATACCACGCTGTCGCTGCCTACGCTATTCCTGCTGCCCACGCTATTCCTGCTGCCCCCAACCATTCACAACATGGTCCACAAGGGTTCCGCCGGGCCCATTTTATACATGCCTTTAGACTTGCTAGACTTGCCAAGCCTCCTCTTCTTCCACTTCTCTACCTTGGCCTTCAGCCTGTCTCCGAGGGACATCGGCGCGGGGGGGTCTCTGCTCATCATCATGAATTCCTTGTTCGAATTCGGATCCTGCCACATGCAATGGGACTTGAATCCATGCAGCTCGAACAACTTCGGCCCCTCCCTTACATCCATTGCTGCCGCCATTGACAATCCCCATCCCTCGCTTGACGCCAGCTCCCAGGCTTTGTTCAGCATGGCATTTACGCCGTCGACATAATCACCGGGGGAGGCGAACATCGAGTCGACGGCCAACAGGTGGAGATGCATGTATCGCTTTGGTTCTTTTGCTTCCTTGGTTGGTTCTTCCCCTTCCTTCGGTCTATTCACCTCCTCGGCCGTGGATTTGGCGAGGTTGGTGAAGCCGGTGGTAGCCACGGCGTATGGCGACAGGTGTGTGGCAATTGGGGCGCCTAAGAATTCGCCATCAGTCAGCCCGAGTGTGGAAACAGGCTAGAGTCAAGTCTCACCGTTGTCGGGCTTCTCCAAGAGGGCCACCGCCGCACAGCGGGATTTTTTGGTTCCTGGCCGAGCAAACATCGGCTTCTGCATTTGAATAAGGACAATGAATTTCTCGCTTCTTGCGTCCAGTATCCATTCCAATATAGGCGGCGAGATTCCGAACGCTTGGAAGACGGGCGCGGCCCGCCACGTGGGGTTCATGCCTATCTCCTTCAGCCAGGGGAAGTCCGAAAAGTTGGCTTTGCAAGTCGCCTGGATGCAGTACGGAGGCATCGTGAACAGGTTGGAGAGATAATCCAATGATGATTTCGTCAGGTTCGAGAGACTCAGCTTGCTGAGGAGGGCTAGCTTAGACGATCGACGGCGCAGACGGGGATTTGGTAGTGGAGGACAAGATGGCGATGCCAAGAGGATAAAGCTGTTGATTAGTGTTGATGCTGAAGAGGTGTAGAGTTTGGGAAATAAAAGTTGGGGCGGACGGCAAAGGTTGTCCATAAAAGCAAATGGAATCAAGTGCTTCCTTCTCTTCCTCAACATCGGTTGCTCGTCCTCTCACTGCCCCTCCCTCGCGGCCTCAACGCAAAGAGTATACAGCAAGTGCCCCTCTATGATATCATAGCAGGCTGCCCAGAGCAAATCCCTCACAGCAAGCGCCAACCCAACCCCTGATCGCGATTACCTGACAAAAACACCGCTCATTACGCTCTCTACCGACCATGCACTACAGCCCCGCCCTCACCGGCTTGTTGTGCTCGTTGACCAGCGTGTACCGATACCGCGCCTTGTTGTTCTCCATGTCGACAAGGGCCTGGTTCGCATCGCTCATCGGCCTCTCCTCCACCCACGGCTTCACCTTCTTGTCCACCGCCAGCTGCATCATCTCGCGGATTTCGTCGGGCGAGCCGATGAGCGAACCCGTAATCTTGAGCCGCTTCATGATGATCGGGAAGGGGAAGACGGTCGGCAGGCCGTCGTCGGGCGCGCCCACCTGCACAAACGTGCCGTCGAGCTTGAGCAGCGCCAGATACTTCATTATGGGCATGGACGTCGACGAGACGGTACAAATTATGATGTCCAGCTTGTCTTCGTGCGTCTGCGCCCACTTAGGGTCCTCGTCCGTGGCGATGAACTCGGTGGCGCCCATCTTGAGAGCGTCGTCCTTCTTGGCCGACGTCCGCGACACGACCACCACCTTGTCGGCGCCGAGGGCCTTTGCCCACATGACGCCAAAGTGCCCCAGACCGCCAAGGCCGATAATGCCGACGGATTTCCCTGGGCCGGCGCCGTGGAACTTGAGGGGGGTGTAGGTGGTGATGCCGCCGCACAGCATGGGCGCGGCCTCGGACGAGGGGATGGCATCGGGGATCTTGAAGACGAAGTGGGAAGGGGCGCGGTGGTAGAGGGCGTACCCGCCGTACGACTTGTCGCCGTTGAGGTGGGTGTCGTTGTAAGTGTCGACCCGCTTGACGGGGCAGTAATTCTCCATCCCCGAGGAGCAGGCCTCGCAGTCGCCCCTGCGCCCCATGCACGAGTCGTTCTGAGCGCCCACACCGACGCGGTCGCCGAGCTTGAGCCCACCGTCAACCTTGGAGCCCACGCGGACAACGGTCCCGACAATCTCGTGACCGACGCAGACGGGGTAGTTGGTTGGCCCCTGTCGCAGGTACGTCAGCGGCGGGTCATTTCACAAGGGACAAAGTACATACCCATCCACTACGTAGAGTGTGCATGTCGCTTCCGCAGATACCGCAGTGGGTGACCTTGATGTCGACGTCGGTCTCCTCCCACGTCTTGGGCTCGAACTCTGCCCATTTCATCTTGCCCTCGGCGGCCGAGGCATCGTACCCGAGCCAGCCCTCGAACTTGTCGTCTTGCGCAACCATTGCGTATTGGTATTTGAGGGGAAGAGCGCACAATTGAATAGGAGAGATGGTGAGAAGGCGGGCTTGTTTAGGATGCAACAGATACCATGGTGCCTTCTGGAGTCGGAACAACCATTCTTATACTGTTGCTTCATGTCTGAGCCAGAGTGGGTACATCCCCCGGGTCCACCACTAACAAGGCCGAAGGCAGTCGAATGTGGCGAACGTTGGCAAGGTCCTGTTCTTGGGCATGGATCCCTGTGATCCGAATAAGGAACCGTCGAAGAAGCCTTGCCAAGAGGTGTGATTCAGCAAGCCGACGACGGCGCAACTCGAGCAACCAGAGGTGATTAGTTAGTAGGACAGTCAGCACCGCTGATCCTGCAAGTCTCTCAACACCAAATTCTGGATTTGGAGCAACTTTTTGCGACGCAGGATTGTTTTGATGCAATCATCGGCCACTGAGAGTCAACAACCACAACCAGAAATGGGGGGACAATATCCCGGCGTGTGGAGAAGCGGTCGTCCGATCAGGGTGCTGACTGCAACGGGCCGCCCGTGCCATGCTGTTTTTGGTGTGGATCTGATGATGTTGCCCATGTTTTGTGTTGGTGTTGCGATTGTCATTTGGGCCGGAGCAAGTGGTCCAAGATCGAAAGAAAAATCGAGAGCCCACAGAGGCAAGAGAGGATGGATTTCTAATCACAAGGGGCAGGCCTTGGCGCAGAATGGCCTTGCGAGTCATGAATCCTCATGCTTTGGCGGCGAGGGCGGGCGTCAAGTTGTTGGGAGTTTCTCCAGAACCACATGCAGAACCAAGTTTTCGGGATCTAAGAGCCACAATGCGGGATATCCCCGATCTTCTCGATCTCGGTGGATGTCGTCTCAGCAAATGGTGGACCCTCGGCTCGCGTGTCGTCGATGCGGTTAGAATCGGAATTGACAAGTGATCGTCGCAAATGTGGAACATCTTCGTGCCGAATAAATGTTACAATCGTCAATCCTTCCCTTCTCAGAGTCGCCTTATTCCAACGTCAACTCTTTCCTCCCCAGTTCGAGAGCAATCTACAACGGAGATACAATGAGCCCTCCGCCCGGGCACATCTTGCTGAGGAGCTGTTGGGGTGTGGCCAGCTCCCCTCGAAAATAGCCTGAGGGGTTCAACTGGGGCAGCACCTGGGGCAGCGTGCTGTACTTTACCCAGCGATATTGCAGCCCTTTAAACAATTCGGTACATGTCAAATGGCACTGCGACGAGCTTGAAGAATGGCCGCCGTCTCGGTGCTTCAAATTGGTCCGAAGGTGTGTACTTGTCGTCCCTCGCATTTCTGAACCACCTGGACGCCGGTGCAAGCAACCATGCTTCACTCTTTGATCCTATTCCTGCTGCTCGGCCTCCGGGTGGCGGCATCGCCAGTGGTCGCCAGGCAATACGAATACCCCGAGGACGAACCCTTGACCGTCGACTCGTGCATTCGGCAGTCGTTTTCGAACCCGGGCTGGTATATCCTCGGACCGGAGTTGGTTGTTGTCGACGGCCTGACCGGGGGCTCCAAGGGTGACATTGGGTTCCTGGCTCTCAACAGGGCCACTCGGGAGACCGCCAGATGTGTTGCGGAGAACATTGAGCTTGACCCCAAGGGCGCTGCATCCCTCGATGTGTGGCACAGCTGCAATGTCACAGGCATCGAGTTTCAGTTTGAGATCAACGGCGCCATCATCGGAGATCTCGAGCTGCATGTGAGGGGCAGCTGGGTCTGCCAAAAGGGGTCCCCGTGAGTTCACCCAGACACCGGTCCATGGCTACGCCGGATGCTGACTCGGATAGGCTCGTCTTTTCGTCAAATGGAACCTGGGAGGTGCCAACCATCCAAGGCTGCTGGGATGATGAGGGGTCGCGAGGGCTGGAAAGGCAGTGCGTCATGGGCAACTCGCAGGTGTCGGGAAGTCTGAGCAGTCCTGTCAAGATCGCGCCGCAGCTGCCTCTTCTGCCATACACTCCGGCGCAGCCGCCCTTTCGGTGCGTGGACCGATCCGTCGACCCGGAATGGACCATCGAGCACTTTTCCTCTCGGCACAGCGCAGGCCGCCATGAGCTGGCCCTCAATCTGACCAGCATTTCGACTCAGGAAACCGTGGCGTGCACGGCCTCGGCCGACGAGAGCAAGGAGGCGGGCGTTCGCCGTGCTGCTCCGTGGCTCAAATGCACGCCGTCCAAGGCTGGAACCCTGGTCGATCTGACCGAAATTTCGCTTGACGGGGAGTATGACGTGTTGGGGGTTCGGCAGACGTGGAGGTGCTTGGACGGGT